CTATCTATCTATCTATCTATCTATCTATCTATCTATCTATCTATCTAATGTTCTTTGCTGCTGTTGGCTTTTGTTGCTCGTTTGTCTTACCTGTGTCCTTTTGAAGAAGCTCCAATAGGTTCTCCATCCAGATTGCCCACAAGAAACAGTTTCTTTTGTGCAGACAGCAGCTGGTTGGATGGTTTGGTTAACTTTCTTTGATTTCTTTGTCTCTGTGCCTAAAGGATCTTTTCCTTTTGGGGTTTGCTTTCCTTCCCTCCATCAGGTTTGGCATTGTAGGACACATGTAAAGTTTGGTAACAAAAATAAATTCATAAAGCACGGTCGGATAATCAAAGGGGGGGGGGGGGCTTCTCGCCAACAAAGCTTCCCTTGGCAGAGCAAACGTGTAAAGCATAGCAGGGTACTCAGACAGCAGCAATAACACTCAACAGGACAAGCATTTCTGTAAACTTTAGCCCAACCAGTTTCTTTCCTGCAGGTAGGTTTAAATTCACAATAATAAAAGGTAACACCCATCTGGAGTGACGCATACCATGGATGCTTCTCTCGTTCACTAAAGCAGACACTTTCAACTCAACTTAGGTTGCACAAAGAAATCCAGCTTTTTAACAGCAAGGGTAAAAAATCACTCATAAGTTAGCCATTCATTTGACTCTTTAACCCCAAATTAACCATTTGAACAGACAAATATTCTTCTGACATCCCAAGTAGTTCTTTTCAGCACTGTTGCCAGGCTGACTGAGAGCCACAGCTCTATTGAATCAAGTATTCCAATAGCTCTCACTAGCCATGACTTCATGAGCTTCTTTAACGATAAAATTCTAGCTATCAGGAACAAAATCCACCAAGACTTGCCCTCAACTAGCATCGACTTATCTTTAAACTCAGTAACTGTAGGACCAGAACCAGTTATATGTTTTGACTGTTTTGCTTCCCTCAATCTTTGTCAACTAACTTCAATCATTTCTTCATCCAAACCTTCAACTTGCCTCTTGGATCCCATCCCGACTAGGTTGCTTAAAGAAGTCCTACCCTTAGTCGGTACTTCTCTGCTAGACGTGATCAATCTGTCCTTATTAACAGGCTATGTGCCACAGTACTTTAAAGTTGCTGTAATTAAGCCTCTTTTGAAAAAGCCTAACCTGGACCCAGATGTTGACTACACAGTCACTCAAAACATCAGGGGCCTCATCATGCAAGCATTTAAAAACCAGTTTTAACTGAGCAAATTTGACAAATTTCTCAAAGTTTAGCATTTTTAAATTGTTCAACTATAGACCTATATCCAACCTTCCATTCATCTCCAAAGTCCTGGAGAAAGCAGGAGCCAAACAGCTGTGTGACTATCTACATAGCAATAGCTTGTTTGAGGATTTTCAGTCAGGATTTAGAGCTCACCATAGCACAGAGACCGCACTGGTGAAAATTACTAATGACCTCCTAATGGCATCAGACAAAGGACTCGTCTCTGTCTTGGTTTTATTAGATCTTAGTGCTGCTTTTGACACCATTGACCATCAGATCCTACTACAGAGACTGGAACATTTCATCGGAATTAAAGGAGCCGTTCTAAGTTGGTTTAGGTCCTATTTATCAGATCGGTTTCAGTTTGTGCATGTTAACGATGAGTCCTCCATGCATGCCAGAGTTAGCCACGGAGTTCCGCAAGGATCCGTTCTCGGACCAATCCTCTTTACTTTATATATGCTTCCTTTAGGTAATATTATCAGGAAACACTCTATCAACTTTCATTGCTATGCAGATGATACTCAGTTATACCTATCGATCAAGCCAGATGAAACTCATCAGCTAGCTAAGCTTCAAATGTGCCTTCAGGATGTTAAAACCTGGATGACCTGCAATTTTCTAATGTTAAACTCAGCTAAAACTGAAGTTATTGTTCTAGGGCCTAAACACCTTCGTGACGCATTATCTAGAGATATAGTTTCCCTGGATGGCATCGCCCTGGCCTCCAGCACCACTGTGAGAAATCTTGGAGTTATCTTCGATCAGGACATGTCGTTTAACTCTCACATTAAGCAAATTTCAAGAACCGCCTTCTTTCACCTTCGTAATATTGCAAAAATTAGGAGCATCCTGTGTAAAAATGATGCAGAAAAACTAGTCCATGCATTTGTTACTTCTAGGCTGGATTACTGCAATTCCTTGTTATCAGGGTCTTCAAAAAAGTCCATTAGGACTCTTCAGCTGATCCAGAATGCTGCAGCACGTGTTCTTACAGGAACCAGAAAAAGAGATCATATTTCTCCTGTCTTGGCTTCTTTGCACTGGCTTCCTGTTAAATCCAGAATAGAATTTAAAATCCTTCTCCTTACGTATAAAGCTCTTCATGGTCAGGCCCCATCTTATCTTAAAGAGCTTTTAGTACCTTACTGCCCTACCAGAGAACTGCGCTCCCAGAATGAAGGGTTACTGGCAGTTCCTAGAGTCTTGAAAACTAGAATGGGCGCTAGAGCGTTCGGCTATCAGAGTCCTCTTTTGTGGAACCAGGTTCCAGTTTGGGTCCGGGAAGCAGACACCGTCTCTATATTTAAGAGTAGGCTTAAGACTTTCCTTTATGATAGAGCTTATAGTTAGAGTAAGTCCACCCCTGGTTGTGCTGCTATAGGCCTAGACTGCCGGGGGATGCATCATGATGCACCGAGCTCCCCTTTCCTTTCTCTCTCTCCCTCCCGGTGCAACCTCATTCCATTAACAATGTTACTAACTGGACTCTCTCCCTTCCCCGTAGTCGTGTGCTTTCTCGTCCCCCTTCTCTCTTCTCTCTCTTCCTAACACTTTCTGCAGATATTCCTGGCTCTGGAGCTGTGGGGTCTGGATCTGTGGTTGGGAGTCTCCTCCTATCACTTCCTGCAGGTGTTCCTAGAGCTGTGGAGTCTGGATCTGTGGTTGGGAGTTTCCTGCTGCCCCCATGTTCCTGCTCATCATTAGCATTAATATCATTGCCATTTTTAATCTATTCTACGTGTTGCTGTGTTGGCTGCCCCTCTCTGCTCCTTCTGTCCTTCTCTCGCCCTCTCTCTCTCTCTTGCTCTCTCTTTCCCCTCACCCCCAACCGGCCGAGGCAGATGGCCGCCCACCCTGAGCCATGGTTCTGCTCAAGGTTTCTGCCTGTTAAAAGGAAGTTTTTCCTTGCCTGTGTCGCCTAGTGCTTGCTCATGGTGGGAATTGTTGGGTTTCTGTAGTTAACTTCAGAGTAGGGTCTGACCTGCTCTGTTTGGAAAGCGCTGTGAGACAACTGTTGTTGTGATGTGGCGCTATATAAATAAAATTGAATTGAATTGAATTGAAGTAGACACTTTTTAATATCTTTTTCTTCTAGATGGCGTGTAAAATTTGCTGTGCACGTCATTTTTGCCAAACGTTTCTTCATAAAACACTCTCAAAGAACAGGAAAAATGTGGGTCAGCAAGCATTTCTTCATTGCATTAGCATATGTATGTGTGTTCTGCATCCTCACCTAGAGAAGCTCATGGAGGCTCCGTCCCCGGACCCCAGTAATTACAAAAAGTTAGTTATTAACCAAAGGAAAGATTCAACCAATGAACACAAAGGCAACAATCAAATACCAAAAAAGATAAACAAAACAGAACACATAACCAACTGCACTTAAAGTAGAAGATCCAAGGCAGTACAAACAACCACACAAAACCAAACTAGAATTCATCCAAACAGACCTAATTAAATGCACTGTGCCACAGCAAAGCTCCAAAATAATTTCCCCAATTATGACACACAGGCATTGAGGGAACAACGTGCTCTCCGGGTCCTCGACACTCCTGGACACAGGTGGATGGCATCAGTTTCTTACTGCAGGAACCTTGGGAGCTGTAGTCAGGCCTCCTGAAAAAGAGAGAAAGTCAATTCACGCCCCCCCCCCCCAGTAATTGGGCTCCTATGTTTCAGTGGTTCGTACAGCTTCTCATTGGAACGCCCGATTAAAGGGGAAACGATTCCTCCAAGCAGTGTTAATATCCTGAACTGTTCCTCCACATTTTCTTTCTCCACTCACAAAATGTTGTCTTTTTAATTCAAGTGTGTTTTTTTGCTTAAAATGTGATGCTAGGTCTTTACAAACTAGCTGATTATTTGCATTTAGAGAGGGGGGCTTCTGTTATCCTTTTTTTTATCTCTATACTATTCCCATTTTTCAGCAAACTTGTTAAACATTTTGAAAAGATCCACACATTACTTTTACATTGCATAAAACGCATCTGCTTATTTGTTTAAACAAACACTAGGTGGCATCTGATACCATGTCCAAAATCTAGAGGTCAACCTAAAATTGGAATAAAAAGTAAACAATCTACAGACAACATTCAGTTTAGTGCGTTTTATTAAAAGGCTTCTCATTCAATACTTCATAGTTACAAAAGTGAAATAGGTGCAAGAGACGAGACGCTATAACGTTAGTTTAAAAAACGGTGAAATCTAACAAATAGGTGCCTGTACAACCGTGTTATACTATTCCAGAAAAACAAACGTTGACAAAAGTGTAAACATTGGCAAATAGAAAACAAAAACACAAGTGAGTTTCCCACAAAGTGCAAACAACTGTTTGGACTTCCCTCTCCAACAAAGTGTGTGAGTCTTAGTTTGGTGACGTTGTCGTTAGACGTTCCATCAAACACATTCAGATATTACAAATTGTGACCAAAGAACAATAATATTAAATATTGCACCAATTTACAGACGTGGATGTCAGTTCCGTACGCAAATATCCCGTAAAAATGAGACCAAACTGACAGATTTAACTTTAGCAGCATCACTGGCACTTTTTGCCATAGCACACAAACCTGATGAATCATCATTGTTTATTTAAAATAAATATATAAATAGCATTAAACGTTTATTTATTTATTTAATAAAAACTGGCAGCCCTCTTTCACAGATTAGCATCACAGGGAAAACAACAGCCAGCGGTTTATTGCACAGGACCTACCGGGAACAGCCCCCTCTGGTTCACACAAGCCGTCGTGTGCTCGGATCCACGAAAACAAACAAACTAAATAAAATACCCGCCTTCTCCGAAGAAATTCTGCATAGAACTTCCGATGATTCTATGCAGAATCTCAGATTTAAGGTCATCACCTCAGTCCCTTTTTGGTCTAAACCCGTTGAGCCTCTAGGGTTGGGGTTGGGGGTGGGGGGGTGCGGCCGGCGTCCCCGGCCAGCGGGGGCTCCGCTGCACCGCCCGTGTGTCGGTCAGTAGCAGCCGTCCCTCCAGGCGCTGTCACGAAGGGCACTGAGGGTGGACAGGCTCTTTGGAGGGGTCAGTAAACTGAGAGGAAACAGAGCAAGAAGGAAAATAGTAACATTTCATCAACCGGACTCCTTTTTTCTTTGAAAATTGACTAAGGGTTTTACAAGTTTGGCACATTCATCAGAAATACTTTACCTATCTGGTATATATTTGGAATGCACTGCATGTAGAATGGCGGTAGAACCTTCTAAATGACCATGAATGGACCAACTGAAGTACGTGCATGTTGGTTGTGAGGCTAGATGTCTTCCTGAGCATCCTTCCCTTGACTGCTAAACTAAGTTTTGCATGCATTACTGCCCCCTACTGGCCTGGACAACATGCATCAAAGGTGCCATGGTGCATGACATTTGGGACTTTCTATTTAATTTCATGTGTATAGCAACAAATCACCAGGACGTGTGGACTGTGAAATTAATCTTTTTAACATTGTTTGATTGAAATGGATAAATAGTAGATCCAGTCCAAATCTGTATACTATTACACATAATAACATCCTTAAAAACAGGAACGGGGAACCCCGACGGAGGCCTTTACCTTCGCGGCTGGGCCGCCTTGCTGCGGGGGGCGGGGGCGCCGGTCAACACGAAGGAGGCGGGGCGGGGCAGGCCGCTGCGGGGCGGGGTCAGGCCGGGGCTGAGCTGCTTGCTGAGCAGCGGGATGCCGCTCAGGGACTGGAGGCTGGTGGAGGCCGGGCCTTTGATGGTGGGGCTGACGTAGGCGGTGGCCTTCAACGGTTGGCGTGACAACGAGGAGAAGTTCCCTACGCTCTGGACCCTGTTTTGAAGAGGGACTGGGGAGGGGACTGATGGGAGAGAGGGAGTCAAGAAGACCCGTCGTAAAATACGTGAATGATTGTAAAGTCAGAGGGGGCTGCGTCTCACTGGAGGACTGCAGGCGGGTCAGTGCGCCGGAGGAGTCGAAGCTCTGGCTGTTACGAAGCAAAGACGGGGAAGCGCTGGGATTGCTGGGACTGCTGGGACAGCTGGGGAGGGCCACACTGGGAGCCCTCACCAGGTTAGGCATGCTCCTCCGCAGCTTATCTACCAAGACAAACGGACACAGGGGAAAGTGGGATGAGGCGAGGAGGAAGGAGTTTCAGTCCAAAGTCTGGACCTTCTCCTCCCGAGCTGGCCACCACCTCCTTTAGCCTCGACCTCGGTCCCATTTACAACCCCGACTCTAATCCAATCAAACGCTCTCTGAACAGAAACACGTGGCTCTTCCCAGAGCTTTAAGAGCAGTTGTACAAGAGGATTAGATGGTTTTTATTAAGCGTTGCCAGATCAGCGTGGGTCAGGCCTCAGACGCTCATTCAACCCCGAGCCGCCCCCACACGTCGTCAAACTCTACCAGGAAGTGACTCAAAAGGGAACCAAAGTCTACCAGAAATCCCACATCACCCCAATACAAAACCTCTTCGTCCTGATTTCTGATATGATGGAAAAATAAAGAAACATCCAATTGTTTAACAGAGTCTTGCCGTCAAAGAATCATCATTTCCCCACAGGCTACGAAGCCCTCCTCGGCATCCAATAATACTCACATCGTACATGGGTTTCCCTCGTAAAGATGCGACGGAGCAAGAGGGAAAATCATCTTCAAATGATCAACATTGTTTAAATCCCACATTTCTAATAGTCCATTTATTGTCTCTCAGAGCCGGCAGGAAACCCAGACCAGCTCAATCTGCCAGCAACTGACTCTGGGGAACGTCACTTAAAGATTGCCCAGGTCAACACAGATCCTCAAAAAATGGTCCTATTCAGGATTTAAATCTGTGTCTTTAAAAGCTATTTTGTTCCTCTGTGCAGCCAAATAATTTCCAGTGGATACCAGTTCAATTTGTGTACCGGTGTTTTCACGTATAACCAGAGAATCTCAAACTTTTGCAACCTCGCGTTGCACAGAACCGTACCGCTCACAGACTACTGAAAGGCCTCTCTGGAGCCTCTTCTCACCTGATCCCGCTCTGAGGCCCGGCTGCTCGGCTCCGCGGGGGCTGCCCAGCCCCAGCAGCTGGGCCTGGAAGGCGAAGCCGGCGGAGGGGTAGGGCGGCGTGGAGGGCGTGGAAGGAGGGGTGCACAGGGAGCTGGTGCTTCTTCGCCAGTCTCGGATGCTGGAGAAGGTGTGGGAGTGCGGCAGGCGGGTGAGGCGCGGCTGCGGGGGCGGCAGGAGGCCGTAGTCTTCGTCGTCCTCCTCGTCTTCCTCCTCCAGGCCGCGGCCGGCGCTGAGCTGGCTGAGCGGGAAGGTGAAGCTCTGGCTGCGGCGGTTGGCCAGGATGGAGGACGTGCTGGCGTAGTCCTGCCTTAGACCTGGGGGGGCCAGATATGAGGACCAGCAGCGCGCACGCACACACACGTACACAGAGACACAGACACACACACACAGACGTCACCTCCTGGGGTTAATGAAGCTAAAGTAGCGGTGGGCTCTGAGATCTGGTGCGACGGGTTAAATTGTTAGGGGAGCGGCGACAGACAGAGACACACATCAGAGGCAGTCAGCGCGGGATCACCAAATAAAACACCCGGTCCGGCGTCGTGTCAAACCACCCCAAACGCCCAACACTTACTCTCCTCCTGCAGCCGGGCCATGACCTGGACGTCGGTGAGGTCCTGCAGTTTGTATCCCAGGCAGATGGAGTCCTCCTCCGCCTCCGAGGCGCCAAAGTCGCTGTCCACGGAAGACTGCGGGCTGAGCGCCGAGCGCCGGAGGCTGCGGCCTGCACACCAGAGACAAAATGAAGAAATAAATAAATCACAGCTTCAAATCACAGTCAAGTGTCCTCCGCACAGAGGACCAGAGGATCAAATGTGACTGAAAAGGCTCTTTTGAGACACATTTTCAGCTACAGTTCATTTCAGGAAGGCTCCAGCAGCCTGAGGTTCAGCTTGCCGATTTGAGCCATTGTGTTCCAGTTAGGAGAGTCGGCTTTGGAACATCTGTATTATCGCTATCCTTCGATAATGGACGAGAAGCCATCTGAGGCCATTTCTGCTCTTTCATCTTGGCTCTGACTTGAGAAGAAATGTTGGTTCTTCCTTTATTTTTATTCGTTTGCATTTAAATGGATATATCAATTGGAAGTAACTTTTGTGATTGTAAGAAGTGATATAAGATAGAAGAATAGAAAAAAAAAAGCCTATTGAAAACTTGATTACTTTTTATTTAAAAACTTTGCTTCATTTCCCCCTGAAACTCTTCGTCTCTACACTGCTGGGAACATTTTGTCATGCAATCTGAAAAACTCAAAGTTAGTGGGAGCACAAACAACACATTAGGAAAAAGCTCCTTCCACCTACAACATCTTGGTAGCAGGAGGGAAAGGGCCTCGACCTTCAGAGAAAACTACAATGATGGAAAATCTGAGTCAATCGGTTCCGACATTGTAGAACGTTTCAGTTTCTTTCTGAAAAACGGAAAGAGAGCGCTCTCTCAGATTGTACTGAAACTTTGAAAATAGCAGCTCTCTGTTCGGGACAGAAGACGTCGCCCTGACTGATGCATCGTCATGGAAACCCCCTACGGGGAGCCATGTTGCTCAGGATGTGAGCTGCTGGCCTTCGGGCTCGTAGGGGACTCGAGTTGCCTGCAGGGTTGCTTTTTGCTGCCTGGAATGCCATTTTTTCCATCGCTAATAATGCACCCAAATCTGTCACCCACTTGTGTTTTTTTATCTTGTATTTCTTTGTGTGTGTAATTTCATGTGTAAATCCATATCTGTGGATTTCCATCCCATAGGTTGCGTGACCCAGTTTCCTGCTCCCTTTACATTCTGGCTCCAATCTTTTGGGATTGGACGCTCGTGTGGACAAAAAACAAACAACTGATGTGGACATTGCACACCAAAGTGGCAGTGAGTCTTACTTCGAATGGTGGGGTGAGGGAAGAAGGTGGGAGTCCGCTCAGCTACAGGGGAGAGCTCCTTCCCTACGGGGCTAAGGGCGCGATGGAGGACTGGGTGGAGCGGGGAGGAGAGGGGTGGAGCTGCGGCAGACAAGGGTGGTCAGGAAAAAAAAAGGTAAGATAAGACCAGGAGGGTTTCAGATGGAGACTTTTTATAGATGAAGGAGACGCTTGTCGCAGAAATACAAAAAGGAGCTCAAAACATGCCGCTCGACTGGCTACCGTGTCCTTCTGGCGGCTGGGGGGTGGAGCAGGGTTTGGCTGAGGGGGAGGCCCTGATGGGAGACGCTCGGGTCAGAGCATGGCCGCCTGAGGGAGAGGAGGGAGAGGGGCTGGAGAGGGAGCTGCGCCACCTGGAGACTAAAGAGGGAGAACAAACAAACAAAGATGCTCTGTAAGAAAGGGAGCGTTCCACTCTCTGTCAGACAGACACACACACACACACAAAAGGAACATTTTGTCCAACTGTGTCACCAAATGTCTCATTTAATCTACTGTCCAACACACACACACACACACACACACACACACACATACACTCATACAGAGTACAGGGCAGCAGTGTCTGTCACTGACTGCTCTATTCAACAGCTCAGACAAAGCTGGATTGAACAAAACACAGCTGCTCACACACTGCAGCTGTACCTGGGGCAGACTGTCCGTGTGTGTGCGTCTCTCACACACACACACACGCTGTTCTATTAATAGAAATATCAAAGAAAAATCGACTGGTTGTGTTTTTTTTCCTAACTGCCGGCACAGATGCTGAGGCTGGATTTCTGTGCGCTACCTGTCAAAGTGAACAGTAAGTCATTTGGCTCGTTGCCTTCGTGTAAACCGTTGCCATGGCAATAGCTCCCCATTTTCAACCGGGAGCAGAGAGGGATTGCAGGCCAGGCTGGTGGGAGGCTTTCTCCGCAGCAGCTCTGAGGCACAACCAGACGCCAGCGTATCGTCTGATGCAACCGGACCGCCGTCTGCTGCAACCTCGCAGGATGGAGATGCCTTCAGAGTCCTCGCCACCGCCATGAGCCCGACGAGGACTGCGGCGAGTGTGGGTGTAGAGGACGGGGGCGGTCGAAAACTGTGTTTAGATGCCCTCTGAAGGAGCAGAAATGCTCAGGAGGTTTTTGAAAAATTGTTTGAATACAGTGTGACAGACTTGGAGAATCCTTGGCACAAGAAGAACAAAACAAAAACAGGTAAATCTTTGCCCACAATGTGTGAGAACAGGCAAAAATACTAAATGAACTCAGCTCATCACTAGGTATCACATTGTTAGCCTTTCCCTTTGTAATTTGAATTCCTCCTTCAAAGGAGCCACACACACACAGACAAAGTCTGTTCCCATTGATTCTGAGCCAAAGATAACTGTTTGACAGATAAAGTTGTATTCTTTCCCACCAACAAAGATCAAAACTGTGCGCATCTCACTATGGTGAGCAGCGGATAACAGAACAGAGGCCAGCAGACAGACTGAACTGGTGGGAAAAAACAAACAACAAAGGCCAGTTACGGGAACAACAACAAGTCAACTGGAGCAGCTTTCTTTTGACGGGGGCTGAACAGCAGCCCCACACAGATGTTCTCCCACAGCAGGACGCCAGATAAAACAAACAAACTAAACTAAAAACACTAAAACACAAAGTCAGAGAACATATGCACGGACTGATGACTCGGGACTGGCAGGTGACCGTGACCACTGGCATGCTTCCCGTTTTATCCCAGTATCCCGGTGGTTCCGTGCGGCTCTCTGCAGGTGAGACGTGCCGATTATCGCCGGAGACCTGCAGGTCAGGTGACTCTGGTCTGATCTGATCTGCTTAGCCGGCAGCTCCGCCTCCCTGATGAGACAACTTTCTTTCTGCTGGTTTTTGGAGAGGTGCCTGAGTGCTGATTTACAGCCAATTCATGTTTTGTTTTTTTCCTAAAATAAAGTAGTTGTCATATTAGGTGCATATCCATAAATGTCAAATATAGTCCTGCAGTTTGCCGCTGATTTTAGTACAAGGGAAACGACTAAAGTAGAGAAATTGAGGTGATCTTGGCAGTGTGCACTGCTCCAGAGTGGATTTTTCTACATGATCCCCCTGTGTGTAATCCCAGTGTCTCACACACGCACACCTGTTGTAAATAGAACTGGATAGTCTGGAATTAGACGTCTCAAAAAAAGACAAGAGCTCCTAAATTAGATTAACTTGGCTCTGATAAATGATTAGTTGGGAAAGGAAAGGTAGACGTCTCCACAACTCGCCTGATGTGGCGGATTCACCATCGGATGGACACAGAAGTCTGCCGGTGGCTTTCAGACCGTACCTGAAGGCACCATTTCTTCATACCGACTGTACTGAAGTGATCAACAGCCCAAGGGATGACTAAACAACCCTTTCCTCAGTTACACATATAAACGATGACACAAAACTCTTTGTGGCGGAAGCCCAACACCTCGTCTGCGCCGTGCCCACAGCGAAGCACGGCGGAGGCGTGGTCGTGCTGTGGGGTCGTCAGCCATCTTGTGCAGACGCCTAAAGCGACCGTTGTGTTTCTGCATGCCGTCTCCTGTCCGTTGAGCTCTTTGTAAGCGCTCCGTCAGAGAATTGGGTGTCGAGCGGATCGGGAGGCTTGCTCTTTCCTCCTCTGACCTTTAAAGCTGGATCAGAGTGGAAGCTCATCCTCCAGCCTGATCTATTTCCTCTCTGGAATCATGTCAGGGATGCTTCTGCTGCCCATTGACACAATGACACTTCCCACAGTTCTCACGGCATTTCTCTTCAGACGCCGACTGTGTGGAAAAAGGACACACCCCACCCCACCCACGAACTACACCTGAATGAGGAGGGGAACCAACTCACAAAGTCGGCTTTTTTTGCATTACGTAACCAACTGTAGCTTTCAGATAAAGGCTGAGTAGAGAACTGAGTTGCTTAAACAACTGTATATTCAGAAAATGTGTACATTTACAGTTCCACTTCATATTTTTGGATGAAAACAAAAATACTGAAGTTCTGAAAATGTTGGGAATGGGAAATGTTTCCCAGAGTTTCAACATTATACTCTGTAGGTACAGTTAAACGAGGGCTTTCAGAGAAATAAAAAAGGTCTAAAATGGAAACGACTTTGCACCCCTTTCCAGCCAAACTTGCAACAAGAGCGTGCTCGGGTTTTCGCTCCATCCTGCCATTTCAAATAAGCGGGAGCCAGTTTAGCTTTAACGGGACGCTTGGGTGCGTAAAGGCCCGGTGAGCCGGGACCAAACGGTACCTTGTTCCAGCCGGAGGGACAGCGACCTCCTGGCGGCCTCCACCTCAGATACGGGGCTGTCCAGAGCCTGCCGGCACCACTGCAGAGGGGAGAGGGACTCGCCCGGGGCCTCTCTGGCCTTTGATGTGGCGTACAACCTGGAGACAACAGAAAGGTGAGAACGTGAACACGGAGGGGAGGCCATGATGTTTCCCCGGTCTGTTGTCACCACCTTGCTGCACAACAGACAATAAATTAATAGAAAATAACAAAACACTGTGCTTGAACCTTTAGAAACTTGTAATAGGAAAAAGAGGAAAGTTACATCTAAGACTCTTTGGGCCTCAGAATGTTTGTCCTCATACGCAAAATCCCAACACCAGCCAAAAGTATATCTCTTTTTCGTGTGACTTCAGCCACCTTCTTGGAGGCCGAATTCATTCAGAAGATGATCTGGACGCATGTCCGGTTGTCTGGGGGTGTTTGCTGGCAGCTCAAAGAGCAGGCGGAGCACCCAGCAGGGCACCTGTGGTGGCGTGGAGGTGAATCTTAAGTCGTTTGAATGTGACCACTCCAGCAACCCTGACCGCAGCAGTTTGAGTGTGTGCTGAACCAGCTATTGTTCAGATTTGGTGCTCTAGGAGCCCAAAGGGGCTTTTGTTTGGAGCCAAACAGCGGCGCGTCGTCGCTGAACTAAAAACAATGAATCCCTTTTACCGCCATCACTTTGTTGCGTTCAAAGCGCCCTGCTTTCCCCAGAAGAAAGTCAGATTCCTCAGTTCTGATTCTCCTCTTCCAGCGGCACATCCCGCAGATGCTCTTAAATCTTCCAGACACATTAACAACTTACTTCAAAAACTAAACTTGACAACACAAAGTCTTTCCTATCAGAAACCCCTCTGAATCCAGACTCCCTCTTCTCGTAGAGTGAATCTTTTTTGACTCTCCTGCACAGGCTGGGTGGAAGGAAGGGGCTGAATTATACATTAAAGCTTGTGCTGAGATCAGGTGAGAGTCTGACCTGAAGGGGACGGGAAGAGCATTCGCACACACACCTCCGTTTCTATTCCTAGAAGCTGCGACGGGAAACCGGCAAATAAAAGATGAGAGCGAATGTGCTGCTGTGCAGAATCAACGTGCTTCCGAGCTCCTGTGCTCCAAATATGGATCCTAATATTAGAAACTCCTGTCACAGAGAAGCAGCACAATCAAACCGTCAACCTTACTGTGTAAAAGCCCTCAGTTTATCTACCTTTTCACATCATCATCAACTGTTTCAGTAGTTTTTTTAAAGAGTAGTTGGAGTAACGATTCACAGTTTAGCAAGGAGAAAACTGTATTTTTGCAACAACATGGTGATTCCCAAAGAGCTGTTCAGTTGAATTAGTCTAATAGGGTTCAGGCTAGTCACACTGGTGCTAAATAATGAGGTTTACCCTTGTTTGAGGGGTTTATTCTTAATTTGAGCACAGGCACCATCTTCATTCCTGTTCTCCTGGCAATGTACAAAGAAATTAAGGAGGGGGGGGGGGGGGTTTCCCCACAAAAACATTTTCAAAGAGAAAAATAGAGGGTGTTTGCAGCAGATTACCTGGTCCAGCATGAGAAATTAACCATTTCTGGCAAAATCTCACTTCAGATGAGGATTCAAATAAAGGTTCAGTGTGTGATTTTCTGTGTGTGTGTGTTTCCTGGACAAAACAAGGACAAAGCCAACGGATAGGCAGTGGGAGCCTGGCCTCAATCTCACAGCGAGCAGCAAGTGGCTTTTCTTCCCCCCCCTTCCCTTCTCTCTGCCTAAGTGGCCTTTTTTCCTCAGCAGCCTAATTAACTTCCAGGTGGCTTTGTCTCAGGGTTGCTCTGATAATGGAACTTCGCAAGGAATAAAAAGATAACAAAAGCAGCCGCGGCACAAAGCAACAAATGACACATTTGCTGGGGGGAAAAAATCATTTCAAACACTCGACAGTTACCATGTTTCGTCAGACTCGTCCGAGTAGCTCAAGGAATCCAAGTCCAGAAGCTCCAGGTCGTCCAGGACCGACGGTTCGGACTCGTCCTCCTCTTCTTCGTCCTCCTCCTCCTCCTCCCCCGCGTTTCCGAGGCTGTACGGGAGGTGGAAATAGTCGAAGGGCTGCGGAGGAGGAGGAGGAGTAGCGGAGAACGAACCCAGAGAGGACTGGGGGCACAGCAGGGTGGGCAGCGGGCTCGGGAGGCGGTAGGCACCGGCGAGCGGGCCGCCGACGGCCCGGGTCCGCAGCTGCTCGTTCTGCCGCTCCAGCTTCCGGACCAGCTCCTGGAGCTTCTTCACCTCCAGCTCGGCGTTCAGGCTGTTGCTGTTGCAGTCCACCTCCGTCATGACCGCGGGGCTCCACACGGCCGCCTCCATCGGGATGGGAAACAATGCCGGTCTCGCGACTTTTTTTGAAACGCACTCCCCCCGCCTCCGGTTCAGGGGAGGAATAATGGAGGACCAGGTACGACCAAGCTGTTCCCCGGTCCTTTCCTTTTTTTTTTTTCAGCTTCTTTTTGCAGGTGGCCGCCGTAGGGGGCTTTTCTTTTCCGTTCCCCGTCCGGGTTGGGGGGGGGGGGACTTTGAGACTCCACCCCTGTGCCGTACACACCCACACGTCTCCCGCCTCCACCTCTCCGAGCAGACCAGACAACCGCAGGTAGAGTCTGCCTGTCAGTCCGTTATGGGCATACACCTGCAAAGGAACGATTTTAGAAGATTTTGAGACCAAGAACAAACTTATGGACAGTTCAAACTGTTATATTATACATACGTATCTACGTTAGCTTTCTTTAGTTGGTCCTGAACGGCTTCGTTAGGGTGACTTGCTGCCAAATGAGTTGTCCGGTGACCTGAACGTCAAAAGACCTGAGACGACACCTCACCGTTAAGTCGACGCACCTGCTCCTCATTAAGCAATAAAATGGCGACATCTGGTGGCTGAAGCCTTTCACGACACGCTGGAAAGGGGTTTAATGTCATCTTTTTGAAGATGAAAATGGACAACATTTATAACTCACAAGAGAAGCTTTAATCATGCTCACCCAGGACCGATGTGCCCTGTTGAATCAGGCAAAAGAAAGTCGCTAAGTCTTTCTCACTCGAATCCCCAAACGAGCCGTTAATATTGCGGCATTATGGGTAATGTAGGCTCTGATTTTAAAGGGAAACGACGCTTCCAGAAAACAACAAAAAGGCTATTTAATTAGTCCTCCACATTGTTCTCTTTGAACATCCAACAATGACACAGCAGCCCTTTTTTGTGTCTACCCAAAGTAAAATTCCATCATTTTCACACAGAAGAAGACATTCAATTGAGTTCTCCAATAGCAAACACTACCTTGCTTTTTTTATGTTACAAAAAAAGTGATTAAGCCCCATAAAGAAAGAAAAATACAAAAGATGTGCTTTTTTTTTCCTTAAGAAAAACTTTGAATTTATTAATTTACATACTCATAATGTAATAGTACAATTTTCTGATGGCACAGCTCCATCTCGTGGCTAAAGGGGCATACTACAGTTGGTGTGGACCAATTCACAGCAAGATGACCGTCCTCCTCCTCAGCGTTTGTTCCAGGTGAATTTACGCCGTGCTCCCTCCTGGCCTGGCTTTTTCCTCTCTGTTAGTCGTGGGTCGGGGGTCAACAGGCCAGCTGCAGAGAATACAGACGTACTTTTTAATGACTATTAGAGCCCTTTTAACACTTTGTCTTTGCTGACAGACTGGTGCCATCTCTTTGTGGGCTACGAGGATCGTGTCATCAGCTTACACCTCCAGAGATTGTTCCGATAGCATTTTCTGTGTATGTTTAAAAGCTAAATGTTGTCCAGAACCCAACCCGCGCCAAACAGTCCGAGTCCTTTCAGGAGATTGTATGAACCGTTTGTTCTGCTCAGTTTTGTCTAGTGTCACAGCAAAGAAATAATCAAATAAACATAGCAGTTACTGAGAACCTGTCATGTGGTTTATCATTCTGGTTTTAAACAACAGGCAGACATCATTTGTAATGTGACAACAACAAGAAGCAATTAATAGTAGGACCCTTTTTACTAGAAAAAGGAATCTCTGGAACAACAGCAACACGTTTGATACTCGGGGAATCATCACTTAAGACTAAACCAATAACAAAAAAAGAAGAAAGAAAATAAATCAACATTTGGCGCCCTCTAGTGGCCAAAGGGAACTAAGCAGCCATTTATTTGGCTGATCTGGTTGCCACACATTACAGGAATTTGTTTGCTTTTTTTCCAACCCCTTAAGAAAAAATGTCAACGCTCACGTTGAAACAAAGCCAAAAAAAGAAAGAGAGAAAAAATTAAATAAAGAGCAGAGCCCCTCACCCTGCCTCATCGTCTCCCCCTCCGCCTCGGACAGGAAGCTGAGCATCGCGCGGGCGGTGGCGAGGCGCAGCGCCCCCGCCTGGCTGGACCGGCCGCCGCCGCTCACCGTGCACTCCAGGTCGAAGCGGCCCAGCATTCCCATGAACTGGAGCGGGAACATCAGCTGCTCTCTGAGAGGGGGGAGAAAACAGATAAAGAAAACGGGTAAAAGGGATGGGGGGGGGGGGCGGCTGAATGGGCTGGGCGGGAGACGGCACCATTTAACAGATAGCGGTATCAACGGCCGGGGGCAGAGCTAATTTAACGCCGCTTGGGTGACTTTTTCAGACGAGCACAGAGGATCGGCGGGCACCGTGAAAGGCTTTCTCTCCACAATCTCGCATATTACAGAGTAACTTCTGACTCAGCAGCGCTCGGGCGAGCGTCCGTGTTCTGGATGGCGTCTCGGCCTGAATGACCCGCGGCTGCTGACAAAGTCAATTGTCAACCTCTCTGCTCCAATTACAGCTCGTCCTCACACGCCGTGACAACACCGACTCTGGACACACGCGCGCGCACACACACCCGACCACTCAACTGTGTAATTAACTTAGTACGCGGAGATAAATAAAAAATAAATAAAAAAATAGGAAGAGAAACGAGGCGGTGGAGAGTGAAGGGCTGCTTTTTAAATTCCTTTTTTTTTGCTTTTAAGGATGAAGGGGGGCCGCGTGGAGGGGGGGAAACACATCGCCTCCTGCATTTTAAGGAAATCTGGATGTACGGGTGATGCAGGCTGGAAGCGGGAAGCTTTATCACGGATCTCACACCTGTCTTGTAGGACGGGAAAGTAATGGAGGTAGTCTTTGCCGTTAATGGTGATACGTCCTGCGCCGCAGTCCCGCAGGACGACGGATGAGGTGGACGTTTTCCTCCGACCTGAAAGGGAACACAGAGAGCGTCTCATTTAGTCAAATGCCCCAACAGGAAGTTCAATTCAATTTTATTATATAGCGCCACATCACAACAACAGTTGTCTCACAGCGCTTTCCAAACAGAGCAGGTCAGAACCTACTGTTAATTACAGAAACCCAACAATTCCCACCATGAGCAAGCACTAGGCGACACAGGCAAGGAAAAACTTCCTTTTAACAGGTAGAAACCTCGAGCAGAACCATGGCTCAGGGTGGGCGAATTGAAAATTCATCTTTTAAGAAGCTCATTTCTCAACAAATATTCAGACATTTTCTGATTATTTGCACATCTTCATTCTTCGAGGCATTTTCTGTTTCTTTGTAGCTTTTAAACTTTCTGTTTTATCAGAGACATCCTCTGTTTCCTCTGTAGCTCAGGACAAGGACCTGAGCAGTTGCTTCTCGATCGGGAGGTTGTAGCAGTTTTCAGTGTCTCTGTTTCAACATGGGGGTCACACTGTGTACACTAACTATTCTCTCCTTGTCATTTGGATAAACTGATAGCTAAATAAGAAACCACCGACGTCCCTACCCTCTGAGGTGCTGAAGGCCACGCCCCGGTCATCCTTCTGCAGCGGCGGCACCACTTGGTTTCTGGACTGAGCCTCCAGCTGCCGACGGTAGTGCAGGATAAACGGCTCCTCCGTGCTGCTGTAGGGCATGGACAGCATGCGCTCCATCAGCTGGATGAAACGATCGTACTGGGAACAAAACAAACAAAAACAAAAAAAGTTCAGGTTTTCTGATCCGTTCAGACGGCTGAAGGGGAGGACGAGGAGACGCAGCCCTTACGTCGTGAGTGGAGATGGTCTCCACCAGCAACATCTCCAGCTCCTCCTTGCTGAGCCACCTGCTGGTTCCCAGAGAGCTGAAGGAGGCAGACAGAAGGAATGAGGTCGAGTTCCAAGATTCTCCAGAGACAGATCGTTTGCTGGGCATTTTATTTTCCGGCTTACATCTTCTTGGCGTCGCTGGAGAAGAGTCCTTTGGCTCTCAGCCGATCTTGGTGCTTTTCCACGTTTAGCATTTTGCCATACAGTTCCTACGATGAACCACAAACAGCGAAGAGGTCGAGTCACGTTTTCTAAAATGCAGACTTAAACAGGAATCTCGGAATCGGTGCTGGATTAAGCAGAGTTTGCAGGACTGGAGCGAACCTTTGTCCTGGTTTGTTTGATCGATCTCCAGTTAGAAGAGCAATAAATCCCTCAGAGTTCTCAACACTTCTTAAAAAAAAAGTAGAGCTCTAAAACTCCGCATCTGGCTGGCAGAAATCATGATATTTGCATGATAGTCACATTTCATTTATATCATTTGTCCGTTGGGCTCTAAGCTGACCGTAGCAAATGACAGGGGAGTGTGGAGGTGAGCCCCGGAGAGAAAGAATGCCGGTCACGTTCCCCGAGGAGCCTCCGCCAGCCGCGACTGCCTGTGCCGCACGGGCCCGGGTGAGAGCTCGTTTAATTCAGCAGATGTTTGCTTAATTCCTTTTTGATAAAGTGCGCCTAATCCGCTGTCACTCTGACCAGTGACAGAGGGGGTGCGGGGGGGGGGGGCGGGGAGCAAAGGAAAATAAAAGAGGAGCGGAGCAGGCTCGGCATCTACGCCTTCCAAACTTAAAGAAGAATAGGAACAAGCTGACATTAAAGGACAAAAGAGAGAGGAAGGTGTGAGAGGTGGGACGGGCCAACAACATCACAACCAACAGTTGTGTATTTTTACGTGGCCTTGAGTTTGACAGATGGGCCATAAGTTACTGCTACAAAGAAAGGAGCAAAAAATGGGGCCAATACCTGTAAATTCCAGTCAAACTAATTAAATAAATAACTAAGTGCATGGTTTTGGGTTGATGAAATTGGTACCACTTAAATTTCCTTTACATGAAACAAAGAAAAACTGCACTAAACCTTTAAGGGCTACGTGTCCAGAGTGAAGGACTTTCCATTGAGGATGGAACGGTTCGCTAAGTTATTTTATCAGGAAGCCTAATGTGGCGTTTTAGTTTAAATGTGACCGGCTCTGCGCTGTTCCCTATAAGTGGAGACCTTGCGGAGGAGATGACCCGGAGGGGTGCAGGCGAGGGAAAGCTGCCCGCTGTACTCACGTGCATGAGGGAATAGTAGGACTGCTTTCCGGTGTAAAACAGGAAGTGGAACGGGCGCCCGTCGGCTCCCCATTGGACGGCTTGGTGGAGAAGAGGGAACAAATGGATGATAAATAAAAAAAATCCTTAGCGGGACTCTGGAAACTGCATTAAAAGAAAAAAAAAAAAGGTGTGCACGTGACCTACCTTTCTGTTTCGGAAAGATTTCATCGGGATGCTGGAAAACAGACGAGGAAGATGTGTGAAGCGGGTTTTAAAAAAATGGCTGGAAATGATCGCTCAGTGTATGCACACCTAATGAGTAAATTTAGAAAAACATCCACGGTTCTCCCCATAGTTTTGCAATGGCACATCAGAATGGATGGAACAAATACAGAATAGAAGGAGCGTGAAGTTCTATAGCTCTCTAAAGGCTTAGGACAGGCAGAATGGACTCGAATGGGTTTTGATTGGATTTAAATTCATTCCATTCCAGTTTGCTTTAATGCAACTCGATCCTGGAAACGCATCGAGATGACATTAGTTGAAATAAGATGTTCTACCCTGCGTGGATATCTATTTTTTGTAGGGAATAACCTCACAAAAAAAAGAACCTTTCTGTTTTTGCTTTTTCACAGCTTCATAGACTTCCCTCTTCTGTCTATTGTTTGGTATAGAGAACTAAACAAGTCAAATCCATCGTTTTGAGCGAGACCATTTCTCTTCGGAGATTCCAGGGCATGTTCTTGCTTCTGAGTTTTTTTTTACTGAACTTAAAGCGGCTCAAAGGGACGACAAACTCACCTTCATGAGGGGCCGGGCTTTCTTATCAAACAGGCCGGAGGGGAACAGGTAGCCGATGCTCCTCTGTGGGTGGGACAGAGAGAGGGGGGACGGGATTAAAAAGGAGGACAGCTTTGAAGGAGGACGGCCGACGTTTTCGAACAGATGCTCGGCGGTTCAAGGAAAAGGCGAGAGCGCTGGTGTGTGTTGCGATGCGGAGTTAGATGAGAGAACGGGCTGAAAAAAAAAAAAAAAAAAGGCACAAGTTTTGGGGCTTTGTTGACAGAGCAGAGGACACTGTGGACGCCCGGCGGTTCACTCCGAGTTCAGCCTCTGATCTGTGTGCGTGTGTGTGTGTGTGTGTGTGTTAGTCGGGGCCACAGATGGCGGAGAAGGAGTGCGTTGGCCCTGCCACACTCATCAGCACAGCCCGTTCATCTCTCTCTTATTCTCCTCCCCCCCTTATTTTCTTCCTTTTCTTCCCTCTCTCTGCCGGCTCAATTAAGAGAGGCAGCAGGTGCTGCTCGCGGGGACCAGGTTGCTGTCTTAAAGGTTGTCAAAAACGACGGAAAACGGGGAGGAAAAAAAAAAAGGGGGGGAGGAGGCCTGGTAGAGGGGAATGAGTGTTGGAAGAGGAAGAAAAGTCAGGAGAAGTTAAAAGGTGGGAGGAGGTGTGGGGGGGGGGGGGTAAAGACGCACCTGTGCGGCTCCGGAGAGTTTGACACGACATGGAGGAGAGATCCCAGAGGGGAAGAGATGGAGCGACAGGGGAAGAGAGAGAGGGGCCACGGGCAAATCTCTGCCACTTAGTTGACGTGAGTTGGGATGAAAAGAAGCAAGAAAAAAAAACTAAAGCTAGAGAAAATATACATTTACAAAAAGCCGATAAAAATGAGTCCCTTTTGTTGTCTTTGCTGAGGTCAAATGGTAAAAATGAGCCTCAAAGTTTCAGAATATATGGAGCCCGTTTGTCACGACATTCCCGCTCCCGTTCAGTCCTCCCCGGAGGAATGAAGGAGAGCAGGGGCCCAGCGGTAACCAGGCCACAACTTTGACAACGTAAATTTACAAGGTAAAGCTGAATACAAACAGACTTTCAGATATAGTTCTCCCTGAAGTGGTGCGTCTGCATTTTTAAGGGTGTACAAAGAGTTTGGGATAAGAAAAGAATAGAGGTCCTATAGATGGTTACCGGCGGTAAAAACAAATATCTTCCTAAAGATGATGATGTTGGGTGTTCTCCAGATATAAAATTACATATGTTGTTTAACCAAATAGAAGCCATATCCACGTTTTCTTTATGGAAACAAACAGCAAATAGAAAACTCGCATTACTTAACCCAAAAATCCAATAAGCTACATGGGCCATTTTTTAAAACTCTTAAGTTTAAATATTTTTGTCCCAGCTGTGTTGCTGTGCTTGTTGAGCAGGTGGAAGGCTTTGGAGAAGAGTTCATCCCAGAATGCACCTCTAGATGTCAGTAACTGCTTAAGGTTTGTCCCCAAAACTGAAAAAAGCGTCGGCTATGTCCAAAACCAAAGGAAAATGTGTTAATTTGGCACCAGAATCCCTTTTGTTGGACACACCATGAATAAAAACGATTTAACATACTGGCTAACGCGATTAGCAGTTTGCTAACTGTAAATAAATCCGATTGGTCCACGAGGCTTCTGCTGAACAACGTTTTTATCACCTTATCACCTTATCAAAACTTAAAGTTTTATTGAATAGATTAAAGTTTTCCCAAAATAACATCAATATAATTTGCATTTATGTTCATTCAAGTAAAAAATTTTATTTGTGAATAAGTTCGAATGTTAATTTGCTAGCTGCTTTGTTTTGTCAACGCACCACATCAAAAATGCTAATTTGTTGTGTTACTTCGTGAAGACTAAAAAAAACCATAAGAGTTAAACTTCCCGAGTTTCGGAGGGGCTTGGAAATCCTCATTGTTGGAACAGCAGTTAGTCCAATGGGAAGGGGTTTCCAGATGGTTTCTGAAAGTTTAGCGAGTAAAAAAGGTCCCGGCTGTTTGACAGCTTCTTTTTCCAGCGCTGACAGATTGTCAGGGACGTTAATCCGTGCTGGCTGTAAACATCCTTCTGATTTTCCCGAGTCTTTATCACCGTCACACCTGAAGCGTTTGGACTCCTGACTGGAGGTCTAGGGATTTGCCTGGAGCGCCACCTCGCAGCGTTACCGTCCAGGGTTCTGCCTGCTGGCCGTCGCTTTGGCTTTCACAGCCCCACGGCGACAGCTCTCTTTATCTGATGCGAGAAATCTATTCAATGATTCCGGGTAGAGACGGTTGAAAATTTGCCAGAAAAACGAATCCCCAAATTGACAATAGAAGGCATTACAACTATTGTGGTTGTGCGCTTGACGGCGTTTCTAATATCAATGATGCAGCGGATTAGGGGGCCGCACCTGCCAGCTGCCAGGGGGGGCCACTGATGCTAACGATGATCATCTGTCCACATAATGAACATGAAACCAACTTCTACCTGAGCGGCTGAATGGGAACATACCAAAAGAAATAGTATTACTTTTTCTTGTGTATAAAATAAGATACACTAAAAAAAAACACTGGAAGGAAATTTTTATTTTTTATGCTGTGGAATCCAGTAGCTCTGAGAGAAGGCATGTGTGTTCAGGGCCAAGCCTCGTCCTTCTAAGGAGAGACTAGTTTGTATAAACAGTTGCTCAATTATAGCAGCATTTGCAGACTGGAAAACAGTTTTAAAAAATGTTTTTTGCAGCTCTAAGTGATGACAACCGGAAAAATACTTCAAAAATATATGCCCAAATATTAATGACAGAAAGCACAAAGAAAAAAAGACAACATTTAGGAAATAACTGCTCTTACAAAACCCATATTTCTACTACTAGGAGGCATGCTTAAGAGGTCAGTGTGGTTTGAGGCTGCTGTGTTATCACGGGGCACAAAGACTATTGTGATTATATTTAAGATGTGAAACAAGCTTAGAACAATCAAAGTATTTTAGCAAAGAAAAGGTATATAACCACAGGAGGTGAGACAATAACAAAATGAATGAAAAGGGAGAAACACAGATGTGTTGGTGATCTATTGGTCAAGACACCCAGGAATTATTTTGTGAGGCTATAAAATAGGACAAATGTCCACATTCTTTAAATAAATATGCGTGCAAAGCATTACCCTGCATAGATGTGCTCCTACTCACGTCTATATCTTCCTGGGTGAAGTTCTCGGGGTCTTCTCCCATTATGTTTGCCAGATGCCGTTTCCCAATTTCATACTCTTCAATCTGCTTTTGGATGAACTCCATTGTGAATTTCTCCGGTCCTGCAGCTGCCAAATTCTTCCGAGAAAGGGCAGAGCTTACGCATATCTGCCTGCTAAGTACCTGTCAAAAGGGAAACGAGTGTCATTGTCACAGATGTATCGTAATTATTACACCCTTTCTGATATCCGTAGCAGCACACAGGGACAGCCGAACGAGTCTTAGGAACTCTTTACTTTGAATTAAACCATCATAATAATTCCAAATTATGTTCAATCACCTGCACGACCAAGTAACTGTTATTTGACATAACTGTTAAGGCAGTTTCGGCTAACAACATGCTAGGTCAAGGACGTTAATGTTTCGTCATTTAGAAAGATTCTGGAGGTCTAAAGCCGGAGACAAAACCCCGACACTAAACAATCGATCAGCCTTTACCTGCCGACATGACTGCGACGATACTGTGTTTATGTTTGAACTGCAATTTCCACATTTTCCCAGAAATGATGCCACTGCTCGGACACGGGGCGCCGCCATCTTTGCTTGAAGCAATTACGTGCCTGGCGGAAGTAAACATACGTCACTGGCGATTTTTTTTAATGGATTTATTTATTTTTAAAGATCACTTGGGATAATTGGAAATAAAATAAAATGTTTTATATTCCTTTTAATGAGAGTGTTTTTGCAAATTTATGGCTGTTTAATTTTGAGCAAAAAAAAATCAAACCACAGTCACATACAATCATCTTTATGGTCAATTTTAAGGTTGAACATGAAACAGGCTGATGATTTTAGCCTGCAAATGTATTCATTTCTATTTCTTTTTATATCATATGTGGACTCTGTTCCCATTTGTCATAGAGATTGATAAAACTAACAAAAATATGTCTTTAAGACTGCCAATAACAAAATTAACCATGTGTGAGAATGATTTAGAAAAAGTTTCAAAACATTTCATACAACAAGACTACTGGACCAAAGAAATTCTGGGGCGCAACTTTTGCTGTCAGAGACGAGGAGAAAACAGCATTCAACGGCAGTATTGAGGCGTTATAGAATAATAAAGAAAATGACACATTTCCTCAATACTACCATGACTCTGCAAAAAATATAATGCTGCCCTAATAGTTTGCCCACTCAAATACAAGCACCGTGAAGGCACCATCTGCCTTCTATGTACTGTAAGAGTCACGCCAAAGGATTTTAAAGCAGCAGATCCGCTTGACTTATCAGAAATAACACAATAAAAATGCACAGTCAGTGTCTGCCAAACACATTGGCGAGGCTAAAAATAAACAGACTGTTTTGCATATGTGCTGCATTCCGCGCAGAGAAGGATTAACACAATATTTTGTGTGAACTCCTTAAGTTACAAGAGCACAAGCTGCCAGCACAGCCTAACTCTCTGGACATGGATACAGAATAAACTTTTTCTTCACACTTCGCTGCAACGTTTTTTTCCCTGTGTGAAATCTAATTCTCAGTTTTGAGTTGACTTGGAGAACCAAAATACTCTCTTTAAATCACTAATAAGGGGAACCGTGTCAAAGCACGTAAAAAGAAACGTGATGCAGCAATAAACATCTTTGAGTCATTTCAACATCTATTCATTATTTTGTACTTTTAGTAATTGCTCCCCTCAGACATCTGTCAAATACATTTTTATTGGCATAAAAATAAGTTCATTTATCGTTCTTTAACCATACCTTGATAGTATGATTTGTATGTTCAGGCTTTGGGTTTGGGTCAAGTTTGTTTTGTAATGTGATGATGTTTAAGGACAGAGTTTGAGACATTTTCCTTAAAAATGCTATGGTTTGATGCTCAAGTAGCAGACAAAAACCCAAACGATGATAGTTTGAAAACTTACAAGGTGGTTGTGTCCATTTTTTGTGACCGAAATAAGTATCCGAAGAAGAAGATGTTACAAAAACATATTTAAGAGAAAGAAATAAAACCTCTTCTTTATCTGGACCCTTATATGCTTCCACGAATAAGCATTTTCCTAATTTTTTCCAACGATTTTTAGCACCTCAAACGTCACCTTCAGATATTCGAAAGCATTCGTCACAGTAAATCTACGCAAGATACAGAGAGAAAGGGTTTGCATAAATTTGTCAAGTTGTGTAAAGCGGAGCCTTTTTCCAACTTTAACAAAATGACAAAGCTCTTGGATCGCACAGTTTTTAGACGGACTTCGACAGAGTGGCGTTCTTCGCTAAAGAGCCAGACCGGGCTTCCTTTCCCACTCGGTCCCCCTAGTATGTTTCTGCGTACCTTGGTATGCTGTGTTTACAGATCAATGCCGTGTGTCTTCGGTTAGATTACTTTGATAGAGTTGGAATGAGAACATAGGGAGATTAATCAAAGTGAAGGGGCACTGACTCCCGGCCCGTGCCAGTCGATACCGCCGCGTGGTTAATTTGCCCCGAGGAGGCCTGTCGTCGGGCAGATGATAAACAGCGTTTGCCCCCTTTTTTCGCCACGAGCGTGCTCCCGCTCGCCAAGAAAAATAGTTTCGACCCCTGCTCTCTAATTCGCAGCGGGGGGTGAGAGGTGGGACATTAATCATCCCTCTGCCACGGCCCCATCTCTGACGGGAGAGCCACCGTGGCTTGGTTGGGTGGAGACGTTTGGCTGGCGAGCCCCTGCGACGGTTTCAGGTACACCCCGCCACGACGGCGTCCGTCAATGTGATAGTTTCATTCGAAGGAACCTTACGGGTGTGTTTTCTCATTTTATGCTTTGCGCAAGGCCGTAACCTTGTTTGGGAGTCTCCTCCTATCACTTCCTGTAGGTGTTCCGAGAGCTGTGGAGTCTGGATCTGTGGTTGGGAGTTTCCTGCCGCCCCCGTGTTCCTGCTCTGTTGCCGTCATAACTTCTACCATTATCATTAGTATTAATATCATTGCCATTTTTCATCTAGTCTACGTGTTGCTGTGTTGGCTGCCTCTCTCTGCTCCCTCTGTCCTTCTCTCGCCCGCTCTCTCTCTCTCTTTTGCCCTTTCTTTCCCTCACCCCCAACCGGCCGAGGCAGATGGCCGCCCACCCTGAGCCATGGTTCTGCTCGAGGTTTCTGCCTGTTAAAAGGAAGTTTTTCCTTGCCTGTGTCGCCTAGTGCTTGCTCATGGTGGGAATTGTTGGGTTTCTGTAGTTAACTTCAGAGTAGGGTCTGACCTGCTCTGTTTGGAAAGCGCTGTGAGACAACTGTTGTTGTGATGTGGCGCTATATAAATAAAATTGAATTGAATTGAACCCAGAGACGGGCCGCCGACCGCGGCGTGGGGGGACCAGAGGAATTCCGACTTCTTCTCTTTAAAACCGACACGACGGCAGGCGACGCTGACCTCCTCCCTGTTCGCCCCGGCGCTCGATTGAGAGGCATCCCTCTCCCTCGCGTGGCTAAAGCGGCGACAGAGCGAGAAATAATGGAGGATATCACAGCGCGGGGCTTTGCCAAGTCCGCTCCTTCCCCCCCTCTCTCTCCCAAGGATGGAGTGCAGGAGAATTGAAAGCTTATAATGCCAGCGAGTTGAGGCTTTGCTCCAGTCATCATTTCCATGCTGCTTTACGCTGATTCCCTAATATCCTTAGCGCCTCGCGCAGGGATAAGCCCATCGTGCCGAAACATGGCTGTCATGCCTATAAACCGTTCACGGCTCTAAAGAATCCATTATGGCTGCTCCACAAACATGGGGACTCAAAGGGCCACTTTGCTCAAGCTCATTTGCTCTTTTAGATATTCTTATTTACTGTTAGTGCCGCGTTTGAGGGGGCTCTCTAACGCACCACAACGCCACACAAGAGGCTGGATTTAAGTCTAACTGGCCATTTACACCACGAAGCGTACATTTTTTTTTTTTTGCGGCACCCGAGTTTAATTTCGCGCCGCAAAAAATAAACCCCCGGCACACGAGGAACACGGGAACGTTTAAATGTTGTCTCACCTCTGTAGGGTTTAAAGCATCCGGTTCCTCCACAGGGTAGGAAATGATAAGAGTACAAAAGGGCAGAATTCAAATGTTACTAACTGCTCAGAAGAAAAGTAGAAATGGGATTTGACATCGTGGAAATGCAGAAATTGGCCCGCTAGAAGTACAAGTAAATGGGTTTTAGCAGTCTACCCACCTCTGTTCCACCTTTATTCTTCTGGATTCATGTTCAAAGTCGATTGTGTTACAGTACCTCTGCAACCGATGTGTTATGGACTTCTGGTACTGATTCTACTATCAGTTTAACTCCAGTGTTTATTGCGTGTCAGTGTCAGACATACGGTAGAAGGGATCTTATTGTAAGGCGAACCGGGTTATTGCTGCCGTTAGGAGCACTTTCGGTTGGGGATACGGCTCCCCTGTTCATGCACACACAAGACACACACATACATTTGTTGATTGTCAACAAGTGCGGTCATTGAGTGGAAATTAATTTGCCACCGGTAATGGATAGAGACATTTCGCTGAGGTGCATAAAAACAGCTGAACAGCCAGCGATTACCTGCTGGAATCAGCCTTCATCAATATCAGGATAATTACAAAGCGCTCCTGGCAGCGCGTGAAATGAACGGAGCGCGAAACAGACTGGGCGGCGGCCATAGATGTCCGCGGATATTAGGCCTCCTCCTCAGAGTGGCTCCTCGGGGAGCGTGCGCCACCTGAACAGACCGGACCGCCAGCAGGTTCGGCTGGGGAGTTTGAAAGGGTTTCGTATCGAAACAGACAACAGTCGGCTAAAACAAAACCGAGCTGACTGTGACTGATTCTTAAAGACGCGGGAATACTGAACGATGCAAATGTTGGAACCAGTGGGTCCAACGTTTAGGTCCGAATTAAATAGATAGCATAATTATTTGAAAATCAGAAGAGAATAACAAAGCAAATGAAGACAAAGGAAAACAAAAACAGGAAAATCCCGGAAAACATCTGAGAAGTAACATCAGTCTGCACGAGCAGAATGCTGTGAAATGAGGAGTTTAATTCCAGACCCAACAGCTGGATAAAACAGCTGGAGCCATGAGTGAAGCAAGCCGAATAAAACAAAGTTCAGAAAAAAACACAATGCCTACCATTCATAAACCCCCAAAAACAGAAAGCAAAAAATCCTCTCAGAGGATCATTTAAAAAACCCCACAAAACACAAAACAAAGGATAGAATACAAATGACAACCACCATTAAGAAAAGGATCTGTTAAATGCAACATGAAAGGCCGAATTCCAACAAAGAGGACCCGGAACTCTCCTCGCTCCCCAGATGTTTCCAGACTGCTGTCAAAAGAAAAGCGGACGCCACGCAGAGTTAACCGCGATACCTGTCCAAACATTTGAGACGTCAACTTCAAAATCAATTCAATGTGTTTCCCGATTTCCAAGATAGGTTGGCTAAAGCTCTACTCTGAGCTTTAGCTCTAGGCCGAGCGGGATCCCAAATAAGTGCGTTCCCTTTCCATTCAACATTATTTCAATTGCCTTACGACTAAAATTCCGAAATGTTTATGTAAAAATTTCAGCTTGGACAATCTCATCTTTGTAGAGACTTAAAAA